CAAGCACTTTTTCAGATATGCTAGCAATCTGAATAAATAAAATGTTAGCCTGAAAAAGTGCTTGCAAACGCCTTCAAATCTTTTAACTGTTTCTTTTGAGTCTACTGCCATATGAAAGAAATCTAATAACATAATTATAATTTCACAAGGATATAGCTATTGCTTGAAATATCTACGGATTAGGAGCCTTTGCCCATCTCAATCCCAAGAAGCAAAGCAAAATCAGCCAGTTTCTTCTGTAAGGCTCTCAAGCTTTATTCTGTGGAATGAAATCAAGTGCATTTCTTAATAGTGAAAAACATTGATAAAAATAACACTGGAAAGAATCAAGAAAAATAAAAGCACTGCAATTACAGTGAACCTAATGAACAAAGTTGCATTCACTCCCAATAAATAACATATTTACTTTCTGAATAATATATTCACTAATTTAAGCTATACTGTACCAAAATACATAATGCTTCTATCCAAAGCATATGAGTCATTGACTAAGACGGGTGGCCTTAGAAATTGAACAGATAAATAAAGCTATTAAAAAGGTCCTGGCATATTACGGTATTCATGTTGCTCTTCAAAATTACGGAGAAAAACTGGGGAAGAGATTAAACTACAACTCCCACAATCCCAACAACTCGCCGGAATGGCGTAATTCATTGAGTCCGTTGCTAGCTAAAATTAATATTACAACGCGGAATGTGAGGCGGGCGAGGCCACGCCCATTGTGAAAGGAGCCTGACTCCCTCCTCCCGACGAGATACGTGTCAATGCGGAGAGTGCAAAATGTGTGCCGCGTTAGCAAAGGTATTTCTTACTATTGCCTTCCTTCCCCCGGCTGCTTCGCGGATAAAATATCACGATGTAGTTGGCTTCTGTCTTCGTGAATACATCTTTTTAACAACCTGACTCCAGTTTGATTATCCAATTTAAAAGAGTTTACGTTAAAGAGTTTAATGGTTAATAGTTAACTTGGATATTTAAAGTAATAGTTAAACCGTTCAGAAGAGGTTAATGCAGATTCTGAAGTCTTTTAGGACTGTGACCAATCTTTACATGCAGTTGAATGAGGGTTTGAAATCTGAAGCCAGAGGTAGAGGTTGGGTCCATGNCTCATTGTGCCCAGAGAAAGAAATATCTGCCTCTATCTAGGATTGAACTCACAGCCTCCTGATTGTGAGGTGAGAGCTTCACCTCTAGGCCACCGCACTTTTCCTTTTGTCACATTATAAATTGCAATTTAAAAGCACGCTTCCATTAGACTGGAACTGTATTAAAAATTTTAAAGTTGAGTATTTTTAAATAATAGTTTACCAAGTAACACTAAAACCAATCAGATTGTTTCTCATGTTCAAGCTAAGAATGAAAGAGCAACTGGATAGCAAGATCCAAATTATAAAACAATTACTGTAATTTTAAAGAATATACACTGAAATGTTTATAATGCTTACAGGAAGTAATGATGTTCCACCAAGAATCTTCAAAAGTATTAACTAAATCTCAAAAAGATTAAATATTATGGTAGCTGTTTACCTTCCCCAAAGGTGGATGGACATCAAAGAAAAATGTCCGGTTAATATAATAACTCCCCATCTTTCCAAAATGTGTTTCATCCCAGCTATAAAAAGACAAAAGTAATGTAAGGTCATTATCAGGGTTTAAACTTCATACTTATTTATATATTTTGTTCTTGTTTACTTCTAATTTGTTAGAATGATGAATTCTTAATAGTTCTGCATGTAGTTCATGAAAAAAAGCAGCTGATTTTTCCAAATTAGTTTCTACTAAGGCTAGGTAAAGAATTCTCTTTGTTCATATTAATTTATATGGTTCTTTAATTTTACAAATGTGCAACTCCATTACATTGACTTTCACCCCATATCTCCATTTCCTTCAAAAGAGGCTGCATAATTAAGCATCTCTAAAATCTACAAACTTGTTTTTAGGAGGCTGACACGCCCACAAAAATTAAAAACAGAGAATTGTGGTCATAGCTTTCACAAGCATGTCTTATAACCAGGATATGCATGAAAACTGAAAACTAATCGAAGTGTGCGGTAAAAGTATAGTGCCTATTTTGGAAAAGCGTACTCTCCAATTCATCCTGCTAGAAATAAATCAAGAAATTGTGTCCCAGCCATTGGATCCTATTTATAATTAGACAAACTTAAGTTCATGTTAAGGCACAGGCTTTGATATGAATAACTGTATATGATTCGATCACTCTTATTTACTTTTGTTTACTTCATTATAATACTTACATAAAGTTTGTAAACATTACAAGGTTGCAAGCATCATTTTTGTATGGGAAGACTAACAAAGTGGAGAGGAACCAAGCAAAGGCATTATTCCAAACTCCTCAAAAAGCCTTTCAAAATACCTGCAGGGCAAGGGCTGTCCAGATCTAAAAGAGAATCTCATTCCAGGGGACAGGTGCTGCTATAGAGAAGGCATGCTTCTGAAGTCCTGGAATGACACTGTGTAATTAAAGGAACTATGAAAAACTCTGCAGGATTGAATTAACCAGGCAGATACTTTGGGGCAAGAGACAATACCATGTATTACCAGGCCCTATGTCACTTGCAGTAACTAACAACCAGAGATGGACTAAATTGCAGGACTGTTTATTATAATTTATTATAATATATTAGCATGCCATAATATATTACAATAATCAGCATACCATTTAATAACAGCAAGAAACAGGATCACTGCTGCATAGGGTTAAATGCCATACCTCAAAATTCTCTACACAAGGTATCCTCAATTAAAAAAATATATCCTAGAATGGACTTGCACAGATATTTATCACTTTTAACAGATGAGCACTTCTTTTACTCCAAAGCCAATGCTTCACCACTGCTACAAATGTTTGTTTACTGAAACAAATTCAGTTCAATGTCTCTGTACTTTCATGTTTTCTTTTGTGATGTTTTCAAGAGTGCAACAATGTGTCTTTAAATGTACACTATTGACAGATAAACAGAAGTGCAAGGAGCTGGGTCATTTCTTTGTGTCAAAAATGCTGTTCTGAACCTTGATATGTTAGAATTTTACTTAACCAGATTAGATTCTTGTATTTCATCCGTTCTAGGTTGGCTGTTCCCTCTACATTATGCCACGTATTGGGGCTTACAGCCAGATTAAACCAAAAGCCTAATTTGCATCTTCACTCAAATAAAGCTACCTTTGGACTAATTACTCCAGTTCAACCTAACCCAACTCAACTCATAAGGTTGTTTGGACGACAGAAATGCAAGAGATGGTGTATGCACATGAGGAGAGAAGAGACCAAAAATGTGACTTTTGCTTTTATTCTGCCTTTCAGGGCAAGCGACCCCAAGGCAGGTTAACCAACAAGTGACTGCAGGAGTCACCTGGAAACAACCACTCTCCTATCTGAAATGAGCTCTAATGCAGAAGTTTTTTTTAAAAAAAAAA